GAAAGAAAGAAAGAAAGAAAGAAAGAAAGAAAGAAAGAAAGAAAGAAAGAAAGAAAGAAAGAAAGAAAGAAAGGAAGGAAGGAGAGAGAAAGAGAGAGAAGTGGGAGGAGAACCAGACTAAATGGAATTTTTGAAACTAGGCCAAATTATGAAAATAAAGAACACGTCTTTAAAACAAAATGTCTCATTACCTTGTCCCAAAGCTGGTTTGCGTAAAGAATTTAATTCAAGTTTCAAGAGATGGGTATCTATGAAGAACTGCTTTTCATGTCCACATGAAAACAAATGTTTTCCTTGCCCTGAGGGGCTCACGATGGAAAGGAGGATTATAGACACATGTGTGTGTACTTACACACACACACACACACACACACACACACACTTGATTTTAATATTTTGGCTCTATAGTTAAAAGGAAATGTATAAGAAGAAGTGAAAAAGAGAAGGGAACTTAAACCCAAGAAGTCTCCTGCTTCGTGCCCAGAATTAACCAAGGGGAGAGCAGATGTACAGCTCTGGGAAGGGCTGGGCAGCTTTGTCCTTTGTCCCCCACGGAGCCCTGTGTCCTTCTGCCGGCCAATGGTGGGCAGGGATGGGGTGGGGGCTGAGAACCTTTGGCCTGTGCTCGCCTAAGATGTAAGCTCTCCAGCAGTCTCTGCCTTTTCTTGGATTATCTGTGCTCTCTACCTGTTTGCATGTGCCCTCCCGCCTTAGACTGTGAGCTCCTTGAGGGCAGGGTCCACTTTTTGCCTCAGCATTCAGCACGCTGCCTGGGATGGAGTAAGTGCTTAATAAATGCTCACTGACTGACAGACAGGAGTTGAAAAAGTATTATCCAATAACGGTGAAAAGGGAAAACGTGCTCTCTCTCAGGAGCAAGCTACCCCAGACCTTGCCGGCCGGCTCGGGGACAGTTACTACACGGCTCAGTCTATGACTTCATGGCATCCTGGACGTGGTGCAGGGCAGGCCATTTCAGGCCATTTACAAAGGGGACATGAAGGAATGGGGCAGGGGGGTGTCATACCATCTGTAGCCCATATTCGAGCTCAAGCCTTCTGCCCTGGGATTCAGGGGGGATTCTGTCCAAGGTTTCAGGCTGGTGAAAACGCTCTCCCCCACACCTTTAAATGCCCTTGTGTCTGCTCTGTATGCATTTTAGATAGACCAATCTGTGTGCAAGCTGTTACTCAGAGGAGACTGTAAGTCCCTGGGGGGCAGGGACTGCTGCTGTTAATGGGTGAAGCCCCAGCCCCGAGCACTGGGCCTATCACGTATGTGGAAGATGCCGCAGGGCACGTGAGAAGGACCATGACCCAGGTGGAGGAAGGTGGAGCGTTGGCGTGACTGCGCACCTAAGCGGCATCCAGAGGATTCGTTCAAATTAGATTCTATGACAAAATGACAGGTTTTCTCCTAGAGGGAGCTGTCAGAAACTGGCTGTTCATGTTCTATTTGTGAAACGTCTCCTCGCTGTTCAGCATCAAGTCTTGTGCTTGTGGGAGGACCAGAACCCTCTGCTGGGCTTTGGGGCACTCCGGACGCCCCAGAGGAATGACTACTGGGGCCAGGGTTAATCTACATTAGCTGAATGGGCAGAAGTGGGGTAAATTCACCAGCACAGAAGCATGCGAGCAGGCAGGGGCCCTTGCAGAGGTGTGCGGGCCGCGCTCTTACCCACCTGCGCTGCAGCCGAAGGCAGTAATCGACGACAACGGGCACCGTGTCCTGTGGAGGGACCAGAGAGAAGGCGTTAGATGGCCGCCTCTGCTTAGGAGACAGACACACCGCCAGATCAGGGCATCTGAGGAAGCTGCCATCGGCCCACAATTGGCCGGGATCTCCCGTGCCAGCGCTCCACGAGCTGGTTCCACGTCCCCGCATGACTACCGAAGGTGGAAGGGCACCATCTGGCGCCCCCTGAAGAACAGGAGCAGCCACAGTGGCATGCTAGCTGATCCCCCAGCCCTGCAGGGGGCTGCTAGGATGCAGCTGTGAGCAGGACCCTGGTCCGGGGGGTCAGGGAGACCTGAGTTCAAACCCTGCTTCAGAATCTTACCAGCCCCAGGGGGCTAGGTGAGCTGGGTTCCTTTCTAGGCCTCAGTTTCTCCAACTGTAAAATGATGCAGCAGCACTCCATGGCCCAAGGTCCCTTCCGATGCCCCATCTAGGATGCCACTCTAATGGCCGGCCAACTCTGATGGCCGCTCAGAGGGAAGGAGAAGCCCTCGGAGCATGCAGAACCTGAGAAATGTTAGAACCGAGGGTCCATGGGCATTATGAGCTACAAGGGGTCTCCCAGCAAGGGGTGTGTGCATGTGTATGTATAGGTGTGCACACACATGAGTACATACGTGTGTGTATTGTACACACGTGTGTGCATGCCCAGAAAAGTTGCTGGGGTCACAGAATGACTGGTCACCTCTCCTTAGCCAGAGGAGTGTTTGGGGTTGCTCCACTCCTGCTATGGTAACTGCCCTGAAGGCCAGCAGAGGGATTCACACCCACGACACGGGGCTCCTCCCAACAGGCATTGTTGTATCCCCAGTGTACAGATAAGAAAACTAAGGGTCCTCGAGGTTAAAGGGCTTGCTTGCCCCCCGTCCCACATTTCTCCTGACTCCACCAGGCCAAACTTCTCTGACCTCAAGGAAGCCTCTGGTCCTGCTGATGGAAGGCGAAGGACCAACGTTCTTAAGCCACTCATCTTCACACTGGGCCTCCCTGGCTCTGGCTCTGCCTTCTCTAGAGTCCACAGGGAGCCCCAGGGGACCGCTCTCCCTTCAGGACAGTCTCTCACCTCTCCATCCTCTACCACATTCCACAAGTCACTCGTAACCTTCATCTAAGTCCCATCCAACCAAACAAGCATTTATTAAACCACCCGCTGGGCTCTAGGAGACACCTACCCAAGTCTGTGCCCTCCAGGAGCTTATGTTCTACTAGGAATGCCTGTTCACAGAGAAGTAAGGTCAGCCATGCACAGTACACTGTGACCGGGAATGGGGGACGGAACGCTCACCACTGGGAGTGGGGGAATCAGGAAGGGCCCGTGGAAGGAGGTGGTCCTCCAGCTGAGCCCTGACGGGATCCAGGGGCTGCCAGAAGGGGGAGCATTCCAGCAAGGGGGACACACGAAGTTCATGCAAAGCCACGGATCAGGAAATTGATGTAGCCAGGGAAGAGCCCCAAGACAGCGTGGCTGGACTGAAGGGTACAGCAGGGGAAGTGTGGGCCACTGGGCCAGAGTCCCATCACGAAGGGCCTTCAATGACACACAGAGGAATCTATGATTGATCCTTAAAGACAAGAGGGCTCAGCAATGCCAGGATCTAAGACGACTCTGAGAGACTCACGATGGGAAATGCTTCCACATCCAGAGAAAGAACTACGGAGTCCGAATGCAGGTCGAAGCAGTCCATTTGCTCGCTCTCTCTTTTTTTTTGTTTCTTCTTTCTTGTGATTTCTCCCATTGGTTATAATTCTTCTTTACAATGTGACTAATGTGAAAATATGTTTAATATGAATGTATATGTAGAGCCTATATCAGACTGCATGCCTTCTTACGGAGGGGGAGAAAATTTACAAATCAAAATCTTATGGAAGTGGGGCAGCTAGATGGCGCAGTGGATAGAGCTCCAGCCTTGGAGTCAGGAAGACTGAGTTCAAATCCGGCCCCTGACACTTACTATGTGACCCTGGGCAAGTCATTTAACCCCGCTTGCCTCACCAAAAGGCAAAAAAAAAAAAAAGAAAATCTTATGGAAGTGAATGTTAAAAACTAAAAACAAACAAACAAACAAACAAATAAACAAACAAACAAATAAATAAAAGACAATAAGGAGTCACTAAAGGTTTCTGAGGAGAAGAGGGCCGGCTCACCTCTGCCTATTAGGAATATCAGGTTAACTGCCAGAGGGAGGATGGATGGGGACGCAGGGAGCCGCCTGATTGGGCAGTGAGGGCTGGAACAAGGGTACTTAGAGCATGAGGGAAAGAAGGGGGGCAGGTGGAGGAGACGCTGAGGGGGATGGGGGACTGATAACTGGATGCCAGGTGTGGGAAAGCAAAGCCCTAAGAATGGCTGCAGTGGCCTCAGACCACGTGGGTCATTTAGGAAAAGTGATGACTTAAGGGGGAGAGATAATGGGTTCTGTTTGGATCTGCTGAGTCTGGAAGGCCCAGGGACCATTCCAAGGGGCGGGGTTACAGAGACACCTCGAACCCAAGACCAGGGCTTGGCAAAAGTATAAGGGTGACTGGACAAATAGCTCCGGCAGTCATTCCATGGAGTGGTTCACGGAAGTCTTGAAGTCAGCCAGTCAATGAGCACTGATTAAGTGCTCACTATGTGCCAGGCAATGTGCCCAGGGCAAGGATACAAAAAAGGGCAAAAACAATCCCCACCCTTAAGGAGTTCCCAGTCCGATGTGGGATGTCTGAGTGACGGGAGCTGGGGAGAGGAGAGAAGAAGGAGTTCCAGGTGAGTGGTCGCCATGTTTTTTACGCAGTGGGAGGCCAGGTTCTCAGCTGAGAAGGTGAGGGGATGCAGGTGTTTAAGGAGAGAGGAGAATCTCAGGGGGAATGCTGCTGACAGCAGGACAGGGAACTGATCAGGGAGAAAGACAGCGGCTGCTCTGCTTGCAGTGGGGGCCCAGTCTCCATTAGAGAACACGCATTTGTGCTGGACTCAGTCGGCCAGTTTGGTGATTTTCTCCAGCTCTGTTCAGCGGCACAAAGAGCCAGGAGGGGGCTCCTGGGTATGACACCAGGCTGGGGTTTGTGAGAGTGCAACGGGCCGAGGGGTTCAAGGAGAGAGGACAGTCTAAAACTGAGCTGGTTCAACAGAAAGGAGGAAAGTGTGGCCAGAGCTGCCTGCTGACCCAGAGGGAAGGGCCGGCGATCACGGGAGCGGCAAGAAGAGGCTTTGGGAAAGATGGACGATGAGAGAGTCAAGGCAGATGAAGGGATGTCAGAGCTTGTGGCCAGAGAAGAGCGTGACCGGACAGAAGAACACGTCCCCAGAAGGGGATGGTCAACTGTGTTCAATGCTACAAAGAAGGAGAGAAGACGGGGACCTGAGGAAGGGCCGCAATGCGGTTCTCTGAAGGACGCCACACAAGTGGGACAGCCAGCAGCAACCAGGCTTCGCTTTTTCCCCCACCTTTGCCTGGGTTAGAAAAAGGGAGATGGATTTGACTTTCACGCTTGGACTCGATTCAATCCCACAGGGTTTCCATTTTCTCGTGTACGCTGCAGCATCCATAAACTTTGCTCTGGGCTTAGGGGTAAAGGGTAGAGAAACGCCAATGTGGGCACACAAGGATGAGGGCGGAGGAACGGCGCTCCAAATAATAGAAACAAACACACTCGGACTCCCATCAGCTCAGGGCGATTTGTTCCAGTCCTACCCAGAGGATGGGGATGAGTCTGGACGATCTGGCGCCCGCTCGATCCGAGTTTAAGGTAGAGAATTCTACAGGACCCGCGCTAGTCAACGACAACAGACGTGGGTCTGACGCACTGCGGTTTCAGACCTTCCTGCTGGATCGTCACGGAAGCCCTCTGACACAGGCGTGGAAGGCGGTGGGAAAAGCGTTATGAGAGATGAAGGATCTGAGATTCAGGAAGGTCACAGAGGTCACACAGCCAGAACCTCCTGGTCCACAAGCATTCTGAGAAGTTCCTGCCATGTGCGAAGCACTAGGCTACAGAGGCACAGAAGAAGCCTCCTTGTTTCTGAAGGATATTGAGTTCTACTGGAAAACAGCACACATACACATGAATAAATCCAAAGTACATAAAGCATGTAAAGGCAGAGTAATCTAACAGGGAACCACAGGCAGGTGGACCAGGAAAGGCTCGTGCTGGAAGGAGGAGGCCCTGGTAATGCTCTGTGAAGTCTCTAAGAGGCTGTGGGGAGCAGGGCGGGCATCCCGGGAATGAGGCCAGGTGGTGCAAAGGCACGTGGCAGGAGAGGGAATCATGTGGATAAGGAACAGTGGCCGGGTCAGTTTGGCTGTGACAGCGCATAAAGGTGTAATGTGTGATGGACTAGGAAGGTGGTTTGGAGACATATTATGAGAGCTTTAAATGCCAAACAGACATTTGTGTTTTATTCTAGGGGCAATTGGAGGCTGAGGGCATGACAGGCTCCAATCGGTGTTTTAGGACTATTAATCCAGTAGCTGTGTGGATTGGAGGTGGTGGGGGAGAAAGGAGATGAGGCTGCATGGTGGAGAGAAGGGGAAGGATGCAGTAGATGCCCTGGAGGTACCATCAACTGCACCTGGCAACTGCCTGGGGGAGGGCAGGTGTGAGGGAGCCTGAAGGGTCAAGGATGACTAAGGCTACGCAGCTGGGAGACTGGACGCATGGCAGCGCCTTCAACAAAGCAGGGAAACTTTGACTGTGGAGTGGATTCCATTTTGGACAGGCTGAGTTTGCTCAGGGTTGGCACTTGGGAGAGAGATGGCCCCTCCTACAGATGATGACGGGATCCTCACGGAGGGGGCAGAGAGAATGAAAAGATGGGGGCCCCCGGCACTCTGTCCACCCACAGTTAGGAAAGGGCATAGAGACGATGGGCCAGCCAAGGCCAGCGCCCTCTCCGCCACCGTGGAGGTCCAGACTTGTGACTGCCTCTGCGAAGGGAACTCCCAGTGTAGAGACATCTCTAAAACTTACAGTACTGGAGAACTGCTTGGGCCCACAGGACTCTGTAACTT